GTTTGCCAGCCGTGCATTTAACAAATTCCTTGGCGAGATGGGCACTAAGCAACAATTTACAGCGCTATATACAGAGCAAACCGACCCGTGAAAACTATGACTGCGCGTTTTGCAGCTCAGAACAGGAGGAATTGGGACGAATAGTGGCCGCCAGTTATGTTAGTGGTGAACACAAGTACGTCGGAATCAACACGGTACTCCCCGTGTTTCCTCACGCAGTGTTGAGAGCCTCGGCTGCCCAGCACACTTTACGACAGGGAGACCATCGGCACAGAAAAGCAGACAGAAGAAAGAAGAAGAGAACAAGTAAAAGGAAATCTTTAAAGTTGTGCGCCAGAATGTGGAGCACCATTTCTTCAAAGGCAGAGGAGAGTCGCTGGCCAACAACAATCCGTAGCGTCGACGGACTCTTTACGGAATGCGCAAGCCCACAGCCAGAAGGGATCTCAGTTTTTTCGAGAAAAGAGGGGAGACGGTACAGCTCGAGAGCTTTACTCTAGCATACCAATGCTGAAAAAAACGAAAATTACGTGCACACACACAGGCACAATAAAAAAAAAATAAAATACACTACAGCAGAGCCCGCAATTTGAATTGACAGAGGGCAGGAAATGGCATACATGCAGTCCTGGCCAAAACTATGAAGCGAACGAGCCAATAATTAAACAATAACAAATCAATAAGATATTGTTTTAACCATATCTCTGAAAAAGTCATCTGGGGCATGAAACATAAAACCTGGAAGGAGGATCGGCGTAGTGGAACTTCATTAGGAGCTGTGAGCGGCGGGGGAACCATCAGAAGGATTAGGATAATTTAAAAGTTAAAGGTCAACGAGGATAAAAGGCGAGCTCTTCGAGGAAAGAATGAACACAAGTATGAGGAACACGCGAACAACAAGAGAGAGAGGAGGAACGGTTCTCTTTGTTGTTTCCGAGGTAAGAGAAGAATTCCAGGAGTTGAATAGCTTCCCACAAACAAAAGCAAGCAGTAACGAAAGCAGGGGCCTAGGTTGCCAAAAACGCGGCGATTCGCCTGTAGTAACGGTAGGGCGGCAGGAGAGTATGGTGACGTGTGAACAGAAAGAGACAGAAAGAGTCCGATAGAGAGGGCAACAAAAAAAGCGTAGAAGTGCCGGGTGCAAAAAAAAAGTATTTGGACAGGTCGAACGGTAAAACCGTGGACTTTAAGCCAGGATTCAAGGATACACCGATAACAAACGGTCAACAGGCCTACTTAAGCAGGCCGAGCGCATGAATCTAGATCAGTCGTTTATTACCAGTTAACAATTACCAATTACAATTGACAACAATTACAATTGACAACATTCATCATCCTATTTTCCGACTCTCTTGGATGATTTCTTTTGATCAGATTTTTGTGATAAATCTCTTAGGCCGAGGTTTGTTTATTGATCATTGAACCAAAGCCAAGTGCAAGTAGTGAGCAGTGAATTATAAGTTCGACACATAACAAATTTTTAATATTGAATAAGTGAAATAAAATATTAAATAGTTTTTTAATTAATTCACAAATGAGACATTTAATTAGCGCCCAACGTGGGGCCGCGCGTTAATATACTCTAAGACGAGGTTTTAAAATAAATACAAAAACATTTTAAAGTTAAAAAGGAATTAGTGCGGTCAAAAAATCGGATGAAACCGACGAAAACTAAAAAAGTTTGTATTGATCAAAAAGGTGGAAATTAGTTAATGAAATAATCCCCACATAACTCACATAATTACAAATAACAAGAAAGGAAGCAAACTTCGGCAAGCCGAAGTTCATATACCCTTGCAGCTATTGCAAAAATTAAATATTACTGAAAACTCTAAAATTATGATTTACTTGCGTATATGTTTATAAACATTGAAGCTATGATGATTTACAGCTCAATTATTCGATTGTTCCTATGGCAGCTATATGATATCGATTTCCGCTCCTAATAAAACTAAAAGCGTAGTTCTGAGTTGTTAAATTATTAATAAGTTAAAATGAATAAAAAAAAATAGAAAAGAACCATTTTCTAAAAATTTATTTTTAATTATTATTTTTATTGTTCCCAGGAATCAACCTTGCTAAGAGATGTGCATCAAATGCACTACTTTTAAAATAACTTAATATATAAAGTTTGAAAAAAGTTTAATAACATGTTTAAAGGTGTGTTTTTCCCTATCATTAAATTATGTCGGACGTCTTTTTTGTTGGCACTCATTTTAAAACGCCAAACACGCTTGAACGAAGGATCGGCTTCTAAACATACTTTTTGCAATTTCGGCAAAGATTTCCTTTCTTTAAGGTGTAAACTTCAAATTGATATTCGTTCTTTTAGGGTAAACTCTAAGCATTTCTTTAACTTAACAATAAACTTTGTCACTCAGAAAACTGAAGCCATGCAACAAATGATACATAGTACAAAGCATAAAAAAAGTCCCGTAACAAATGGGAATACAGATCAGATAAGTCAACACTTTCACTCAAGTATATCAAAATAATAATACACTTATTAATATTTAAGTTTTTTCTAATTTGTGATCAAACTATAAGAAAATATTTTTGTTTTTTGTTAATAAAGTGTTATGATAAATGGAGAAAACTAAATGTTATAAATCCTTATGTTGTTTATTTATTAAAAATTAGGCACTTTTGATGTAAGAGTGAACTACGTGGTGTAGTATAATTTTTGTGGCACGACATATATTTTTTAATAGCCTGATTTCATTGACGCATTAAAACGCATTTAGCCTAATGCGCATTTATCTACACAGGGAATCCCATAAGGCTAAGTGCCGCATTTAAAATAAATGCGATTAAAAACCATTCGCCCCGAACGTTTTTAGGAAAAATACTGGAAAATAGTTTTTTCGACCTTTTGGTTTTAATCAAAGCCGGTTCTATACCATTTGGGATCCATATCTAACTGGAAAGTTTGCCGTACGTACGATTATATGCAGTGTTTTCGTACAGTTCACGCAAGTTTCGGTATGATTGATAGGGTTTTTGGGATTTGGCTAGCTGAAATTCTTTCTTGTTTAATTTAATTTACTTCCAAATTATTTATTACAATTTAAGATTAAAGACTCATTTTACATATGGGGCGTATTCAGATGTTTTTTTTTACGATAGTTTTGCTGAACGCGTATGAACATTGATCATGATGCAAAAATTATTCCATTATGATCAGCAAAAAGGAGCGTAATATAGTATGCTACCTTTTCTTGATACATACATAGCTGCTAGCCTATATCGATGGTGTAAATATCGATAAGAATAAATAGAAAAATCAGAATGTAAACAGAATGAAGAAATAACAAAAATAAAAACAAACAAAACAAGAAAGGAAGCAAACTTCGGCAAAAATTAAATATTCTTGTAGACATTAAAATTCTGATTTACTTGCGTGTATGTTTAAAAGCATTAAAGCTATGATGATACCGTTTTCCGATTTTAATAAAATTAAAAGCGTAATTCTGAACTGTCAAATAATTAAATAATCAAAAAGAATTTATAAAAAAAATTACAAAATAAAAAAGTTACATTTTGTAATGTTTTAATGGGAGCTGTATGATATAGTCGTTCGATTTTAATGAAATTTAAACCGTAATTCTGAAATATTTAACCATTACAATATGTCGAAGAACTACAAAAAAATGTAAAAACAGCAAAGCTATAATTTTTAAATTTAGTTTTCCGATTGTTCCTATGGGAGCTAAATGCTATAATTGTCCGACCCGGCTCGTTCCGACTTAAATACTACCTGCAATAGAAAGACAACTTTTGAGAAAGTTTCATGCAGATAGCGGATAGATAGATAGATAGATAGACGGACAGACGGACAGACTGACAAACGGACGGACAGACTGACAAACGGACGGACAGACTGACAAACGGACGGACAGACGGACATGGCTAGATCGGCTCTCCTAGTGATGCTGATCAAGAATATATATACTTTATAAGGTCGGAGTAGTCTTCACTGCTTTGCAAACTTTTGAGTGAAATTATAATATCCTCTGCAAGGGTATAACAAACAACAATAAATTAATCTTGATCACTGATTACAAATCCATTAGTGATCAGTGATCATGTTGTTCTGCTGAATACGCCCATTCGCTCTTACAAATCAAAAAAATGAGGTTTGGGTCTGCAGTTAGAAAAAAGAACCCATAGGATTACAGAAGTTTGGGCACCAGAAACCTGAATAAGAAGAAACTGGAAAAAATATTTCCTTTTAGTTAATCTGCAGTTCAAATCATTTCAGAATCACTAAAGCTTTGTCTTGAGACAAAAAACTTTAGAGTCTGTTAACCTGTGCTTTCTGCAGCACCACTTTACACATTCACAAAATGCACTACCAGAAATACACAAAAAAAATTACAAAGTAAAAAAATGTCACAAATGTACAAGTAAGTACATTTTAAATAAAACGCCGCTTGCATTTTAAAAAATTCTGTTTTAAAGACTAAAACATAATACCGGGCATGTTTATCTGTCTTTCCGGTCATCACTTTTAGTTAAGGTATAGTTGAACGAGGCAACTATCTACATAAAGTGCAAAAACAATCTTGACAGCAGGACGAATGCGATTGCGACGTTCCCCATCTGTATCAGGAGGAGAAGTGCTGTAATATTTTGTTTGTTTTGGTAAGATCGGTTTGGATTGAACCGGCGTAATTATTGATTTATATTTTAAGAATCTTAGGCACAAGCCATCATAGAGTATCTTCATTTGTAGATATACACTGAGTTACCGAAATGGCTTAAGTGATGCAAATGGACTAGTAAAAAAAAGGAAAAACTTTAGGAGACTGAGAATTCAAATATTCGCAATTGTCAAAAGTTGACTTTTCTTTAAAAAAAAAATTAACTTTAGGTAAGTCTTAAGGACTCTCTGTTTGCTTAAAAATAATACCTTTTACTAGATATGCCAATAATTTAAAAGTTTCTTATAATGTACTTTATTAATGTACTTCGTTTTCCTAATAAAGGGTTATTCTCACCTGATATTGTGTTCCTTGCTGTGACGCAGCCTGATACTTTTCCCATTTCGCCATTACATCACACACTTTCTCCTCCGGGAGAAGACTCCTTTCCGAGTTTCCTATAACTTCATAAATAGAATATCCTTTGGCGTTATTTTGAAGTCCAATTTTTTTCTTGATAATTTCCAATACATCACTCGCTGTAGAGCTTGGATGAAACTCAATTGAATAATATTGCCCATCCATAAAATAAAATTTTGAATAGCAAGGTCTGCGATTAGTAGTACACAAAATTTCTTCGCTGCTTGGGGTCCACTGACGACGCCTTGTGCCTTGGGTTCTAAAAAAACACTTTTTTAAATTAAAAAGTAAGAAAGGTTTTAGATGTTTATAATCACATTTTACTTTTTGGTTTAGTTTTATAATACACTAGCCTACGCTTCTTTCTTTTTTTATGTGGGCCATTCTAAATATTTTTGTACCCTTGCAGAGGGTAGTATAATTTTAGTCTCTATAAAGTGTATGTATTCTTGATCAACATCACTAGCCATGTCCGTCTGTTTGTCCGTCTGTCCGTCCGTTTCTACGCAAACTAGTTTCTCAGTTTTAAAGCTATCTGCATAAAACTTTTCCAAAAGTTGTCTTTCTTTAGTAGGCAGTACATAAGTCGAAACGAGCGTATGCGTATGCTTGCTATTATAGTCTCCTGCAGCTATAAAGCGATCTCCAAGTAAGTTGTAAAAATCCATGAATTGTCCTAGACGTGTGATTTCTTCTTTTGGGGGTCTTCTTTGTTGGCAGGGCAGTGAAAGTCTCCACAAACTACACAGACTGATCGAAAGTCCCGGTGTGTCCATACTCCAGACAGTTTGTGCAATGGGCCGTTCATTTTATGTGACTCTTCCACTGTAATTCTTCGGGCTCGATTCCTTTTAATACAGCTTGCAAAAGCCTTTGCTGATTTTTAGTTGACGTGTAGTAGTTATTCTTAGCTTCCTCGAGGTATTTGGACTTAGCTCGGAAATGCTCTTCCGATTTGGCCTGAGGTTTGTTTCGTGAATATTTCCTTTAGTGAGCGGAACAACATGAAAATTTCCGTCCCCGTCCAGGGCGTTTGAGCTTTTCTCCCTTGTGTAAATTGGTGAGGGCTTTGGTTTATTGGCCAGGTTCTGGACAAATTTCAGGTAGGAGGGCAAATCTGTTGTCGTTACATTTCCCGGGTAATTCGTCTTCTCTTTGGACACGGTTTATTTTTGGTTTATAACCGACCGCGGTGTCTTCCGGCTGAGCTTACCCTTAATTTAGATGTAGCGAACCAGTCAGTCTGTATGGCCAGGCCCGCTTGCTGAATATTGTTTCGTTTTGTTTAGTTGCATATGTTTTTGTTGCCGTTATATTTGGCGCTGCGGTTGACGACATCGCAGTCAGTTCCGCGATAAGAGCTGTTACACTGAGAACTCCATGCCGTAGGAGAAGGTGTACGAGTAAGTAGACAGGGTGAACCGGACCGAGCTCTCCGGCTATCGACCGTCACTAGAGCCAAGTACCCTTGGTAGACGTTTTTTGCCCTTCGCTATCACGCATTGATATATACGCATCAAAGCTCTTTATTTATTCGCTATACCCTAGTTTAGTTTTTTTTTATTCATTTTTCTTTAAAACATCCACTTTCTTTAAGTTTCGATTTCCGTCCTTTTTCAAACAAGCACGGATCTTGTTCAGTCGGGTTGAAGTTCGATTTTCCTTAACTTTGCTGTGAGCTTGCAGATTTTTTTGATTCATTTAAAGGAATTTCTCCAAGAACTTCATATATTTGATCCAATAGGCGCACCGGATTCTAATTTTTCTAACCCCACCATTCAGGTACGCCGTAACTACGCCCATGTCACACTTTGCAGAGAGTACTGCCAAAGGTAGGAAAGACGTAAATCTAGCTACAGGTGCATAGGTCTCAAAGAAATCCTCTCCTGACTTCTGTGCGTAGTTCTTCGCACACTCCTCTTCAATACTGGCAAAGTTACTTTTTTGTAGTTCAAGTGTTTTGTACATTCCACATAAGATTAATTGCGCTTGAGTTGTCGCCATGGTTGAAGACCAAAAAACCTTTTTGTTTAATTAATTAATATAATTAAATAAAGAGCTTCTTTTGTGGTTTCCGACACCGCCACATATTCCGCTTCTGTGCTTCTTAGTGCGATGGATTTCAGCACAAGAAATGGCAGTACCACGTCACATAAATGTGTATCCGTTGTATGAGCTACGATAGCTTTTGCATATTTTATCCTCTGGTCAACTGTTGATTGCAAATTGCGAAAAATTTGCTTGAGGGCTGATAAATGCTCACTGTGAGGGTTGACATTTCTGTTCGATACTGAGCGCCAAAGTGTTCCCTCTTCCAGATTTTCCAGCATTTTTCATTACTTCGGCTATACCTTTCAGATCCGTTATTCGTATTTTTTTGATTTTGACCGACTTGCTTCATCGCAGCAGATCTAACAAACAGAAGATCTAACTGCAAAGAAAGAAATCCACTTGGTGTTCGAGTTCATAAGCGACACTTTGCAGACTAAGTGTAGAATATCTGGGCGTGACGACAAAACAATATACCTCAGTGAATCAATTATCGACAGAAACTCCTTCACGTCAACTTTGTTGCAATTTTCGCTGGCGTTGGAAGTTTGTTTCCAACGGTTTTGGCACAGTCCGGCATTCACTTATGCCAAACTCCCTCAAAAAGCTATTGATGTGATCCCGCTGACCCATTAGAACAGCCCCTGTATCAACCTCGCGCTCGATCTCAAGTCCAAAAAAATTTTAAATCGACCACATTAAAATAAGATGAGATTGCTCTTTTAGTTTTAACTACCTCACTAAGTCTTGAACACGCCACCAGGAAATCGTCGATGTGTACGGCTGTTACATTGATGCTCTTCTCTTCAGTGGTCTTTACGTGTAAGCATGGCTAACTTACACACGCCTTGTAGCCCATCTTGTTAAAAATATTATCCAACTTTGTATTCCAGACACGACCGGCTTGTTTTAAGCCGTACTAGGTTTTTTTCAGCTTAAGTACTCTTGACGCTACCAGCATTTTGGTAGCTTTATTTTTTTAAATATTAACTCGTAAGTTTAATCGTTATAATCTATATTTATTTTGAGCTTCAATATTGTGGGAGAACGACAATGATAATGTCTTTTCTTTAGATCCAACGAGCAACAAAAAAAAGAGCCGCAATCGGTATATATATGTCAAAAAGGGAACAACGACAAGAGCAAGAGAGCGAGAGAGGGATGTTAATGCCGGCAGCTGGAGTTTACAGTGATCACATTGCAATAGATAACAACCGATTGTTTACATTTAAATTTAGCTATAAAGATTTGTCTGCTCTCAACATACTCCCCCCCTTGAAAGTGTCCCTTTCAACCGCATCCATCTATAGGCAGAAGGCTTAGCTTGTTCACTGCTTTTCGAATGTTGCCAGAAGAAGTCTTAGGTCTGCCACGCGAGATACGCCATCCTTTCCTGGAATTAGGCCGACCACTCGGGCCAGTGATTAACGCATTGGTGGAAGGTTCTCATCCTTGAAGGGGACCAGCAGGGTCAGATATTCCTCACGCCAACGAGCCCAAAAGATTTGCTGAAGATGGGTCACACATTGCCAGCCGTCCAAACGATTATAGCTTAAGGCACTTAAATCAGGCTCCGTCTCAGCAGGCACACAAAGAAGAAAGTGAGCAGGAGTCAAAACGTCTAAAGCGCCAGGGCTTTCTGAAATCGAAACTAACGGCAGAGAATTGACGATTGCAAAAATCGGACACTTTAAAGTCCGCAGTTCCTGAAATCTGTGCAATATTACTGCTGCCTCCCACAAACCTCCAAAATGGGGCGATCGAGGAGGAATGAAGCGCCAGTCAATATTTTCAGCCAGACAAAATTGACTAACAGCAGCAGATTGAGTGTCGCTCAAAACTCATCGAACTAGCTCCTGCAATTCATTTTTTGCGCCTACAAGTAAGTGGCGTTATCGCTCCAAATTTGAATAGACTTGCCTGGCGTAGCAATGAATCGCTTTAGCGCAACGAGAAACGAGCTGGTTGTTAGGTCTTGAAGAAGCTCTAAATGCACTGCCTTTGTTGTTAAGCAAATCAAAACTGAGATGTAGCACTTTACTGACGGCCTGCTGCCACACTAACTTCACATGCTCGGGATCCTGCAAGTCGTTCCTTCGGGAGCCTACCATGATGTGTTCAATCAATTTTGGCTGAGCCCGGAAGCATTTAATGCATTTACTGACAGCTCTTGCGACGCTCTTCGACCCTCCAATGGGCCAAAACTGCAAACGCAAACTGGAAAGCAAGGTACGGGGTCCGGCGTGCAGCTGCCGTTCATGAAAGCTTTGAATGATAGCCACTGTGATAGGATGGTGCTTATTCAAAATTATTGGGTGTTGAGCGTCGTATAACGCAGAGCCCATAAAGACGACGACGGTAAATACATTTTGAAACGTATCGAAAAACTCGTTGCATGGCAGGAAAAGAATTTATATACTTTCAGTTCGTTGTGTAATCCAAATAAGCAGAATTGACCAGCAATACGTTCCTTCGTAGCTCATTAATTGGTTTTTGGAGGAAACAAGAGGCAGGCTAATTATCTTGACTTTGACTAAGAAAGGTTGGACCAAAGTCTGGATTAAAGAACCTAATCAACAGTTGCTCCCCTAGAAATAATGTCAGCAGAATTGTGATCTGTGGAAATATACCGCCGTTCCATGCTGCCTGTTATATCCTGAATAGAAGCCACACGGATGGCGAGAAATACATTAATTTTTGAAGGATCCTCTTTAATCCAAGGCAAAACCACGGTTGAATCACTCCAACAAAAGTACCTTCCATCGAAACATCCAATCTGCTTAACTGTACTCATAAGTTGAGACAACAATAACGCTCCAGACAATTCCAGCTTTGGCACGGTAATTTTTGATTTCAAGCACAACAAGTGACTAATTCCCTCAATAGACTTGGAGTCAATGTGAAGCTCGTAGAAATTGGCAACAGTTGGTAGGATGGAACGCTTACTGGGTTTTGAACTTTGGAGTAGCGATAACAATGAAAATAATAAATAGTCAGTAGATGGATATCATGCATTGGTGGAAGTTAGGCGCACCCATACGGTCACACCAATACATCTTGCTGATGTCTCCAGTAAGAGCAACTTTGTATGAACGAAACCTAATCAAAATTTCAAAGACTTTTGGTTGAATAACTGGGCCTGCTACATCCGATCCGTCAAAAACCACAAGTAGTTTGGTTGTTGAACTGTCCTCCTTGATAACGCAGTGATATGGGTGATT